GATTTCACACCATGCATCCTGATCTCATTCATTTTTCATCCCTTCATATTCTCCCTCTGCCCTTGCAACTGCCTCCCCCCTAAAAAAAAACTTAAAAGATAAACAAAAAACAAAAACAAACAAGCAAACAATCTCTTAATGGAAGCTGTAGTGTGACACAGGGAGTCACACTGTATACCCTTTAGTCCATACATCTTTACCTGCAAGTAAGTGTTCATTGCAATGAGCCATTGATCTGGTTCGAGGCCTCTGGTTTTTGCTGTGTCCTTGGTACTGGGCCTTCACTGGGGCTCCTCTTGAATATCCTGTTGTTGTCCTGTGTCATGGGGATTCGTCAGCTTTGGATCTGCAGGTCAGGCCCCTTCACATGCTCCAGCAGTTCATAGATGAGGTGGATGTTGGAGTGGTCCAGCTCATAGCCCTGGTTCTGGTCCTGGTCGGTAGCTGAGTTCATCAGCCTGCCAGCTTTCCCTCATTATCACCACCAGGGGGAGCTCTCCAGCACTGCCCCCACTAGCTCACCCATTATAGCAGGCTCTCATGCACTCAGGGCCGGGTCACCTGCACCCACACCACCAGGGCCAACTCTACTGTTTTGCCCAGGCGAGGTGCAGGCCCTGCTCTCCCGAGTGCTGCAGTTGGTGAGCTGCAAGGCCAACTCTCCTACTCTTTGCCCCTGAGGCCAGCTCTCTCGTTTGCTACAGGTGGCAAGGGGTAGGGGAGGAGAGCGTTTTTCCCTCAGCTATGCTACCACATGGCACATGGCAGACAGGGCTGGGGTTGGGGGAGAGTCAGCTTTCCTGCTCTCATACCCTCAGGGATGGCTTACATGTGTCCCTGCCAACAGGGTGAGAATTAACTACATTTAAAGGAACACATGCTTAATAATCTATTTATAAACATTTTCTGGGAAAACAAATCCATGACTTCCATATACACACTCATAGTAGCAATAAAACAGAAATGAAGCTAAACATTTATACATATCAAGCAATTAAAAACTATAAGTAATTTGATCCATATGGTATAGCATCCATTTTGAGAGAGTGGTTCCCACTCTCCACCATGTGGATTATGGGGATCAAACTTAGGTCATCAGTTACCAGGCTTAGAGGCAAACACATTTACCCATAGAGCCAGCTCACTGGTCCTATTTTTAAACTTACACAATTTCATGTTCTTTAGCTGGCAGGTCTGCTAAGTCAGAGTGTATTTTGATTACTTCTAGATCCAATTAGCTGGAATTTTTTGCTTCTTTTTGTTGTTGTTTTGAGTAGCATCTCGTGTAGCCCAGGCTGTTTTGGGACTTGCTATGTAGCTGCAACTGGCCTTGAAATCAGATCTTGTTTTCTCCTTTCCTTTCTTCCTTCTCCCTCTCTTCCTCCTCTTTTTTTTTTTTTTTTTGGGTTTTCGAGACAGGGTTTCTCTGTGTAGCTTTGCGCCTTTCCTGGGACTCACTAGCCCAGGCTGGCCTCGAACTCACAGAGATCTGCCTGCCTCTGCCTCCCGAGTGCTGGGATTAAAGGCGTGCGCCACCACCGCCCGGCTCCTCTTCCTCCTCTTTAACACATATTTATTGAATACTTCTTAAGCTCTGGTTAGAAGTGTGATGAAATGCTTCTGGTATCAAAAATACTTTCATTCTAGGAAAAAATAAGTAGGAGTACTCTGGGCAATAATCATTGCAGTGTGTAGTGTGAAACAGAATGCAGTGTTGGGGATGAAGCTTTGGGGCTTTGGATTCAGAGTAGAGTATCACTTGAATGACCACAAAGAGTCAGACATGCAAAGAACTGAGATCAGGCCTTTCAGGCAGAAGAATGCCAGAACACTCTGAGGGCAGAGGTCCTCAACATGGAGGCAGTTTGGTATGTTTAGGAAACTAGATGGCATCTAGGTAGATTGGCACTCAGCTATAAGCCCAGCATTTGGGAGGCTAAGGCAGAAGGATTGTAAGTTACAGGCTAGCCTGGGCTTCACAGTGAGAATCTGTCTCAACAAAAGAAAAGAAAGAAAGGAAACGAAGGAAGAAGGAAGGAAATACTGCTGAGGTCAGAAATAGAGGTATTTTCTGGTCATCTAGAACTTGTGGGTTATCATAAGGAGGCTAGATATTCTCAACAGTAGGGGGAGTCATTTAAATGAGGTATTTATTTTATGACTTATTTAAATAGCTAACTTCCAGAGGTGATGAGGTGATGAGAACTATCTTGAGGAACAAGAGTAGAAATAGGAGGCTTATGGAGTGATACAGAAGAAGTGGTAATGATGGCCATATAAAAGACCATGCTATTCCAGGTGTTGTTCCTAAGAGGGAAGTCAGGAGAGGATGGTGGTGAGCAACTGGTGTCTATTTAAGAGAAGACAGATGAGAAAAGAAGAAGGATCTGACCTAAGAGAGCTTGTGCAGTTTACCATTTGTGGAGAGTGTCGGGTGCTATGGAAAGAATACACTTTGTTTGTGGCATTTCAAGCTACTGTGATCCCTCCTGAACTTTCCCTCTGGTTTCCTACAGATGTCGCAGCTAAGGCTGATTACCTTACTCTTTTCCTGCTCTCTTTTCTACCCTTGTATGTAGGCTTATGAAGACAGATTTCCTTCAGAAACTGATATAGATAGGCTTAAAAAGGAACTCTCACAACTTTATGATTTATAAGTATATTTTCCCTGTTCTTTGAGAATTTCATACATGCATTAATATAAATAAATGGTGGTCAATACAGAGATCACAACTGGTCAGAGAATAGATGATCATGGAGTGCTCAGCTTCAAATGAGGACATTCATATTATACCCCATGTTCCCATGGCTCAGGGATCATTTAGGGGAAGGCGATGTAAAGATTATAAGAGCTAAGGATTGGCTTGCACAGGGCTATGACACATATGAATTCACAGTGGCTGTGGTTGCCTGCATAATGCCTGGACAAGACCAAGCCATTCAAAAATTCAAATGGTTAGGAAGAATCTCACCAAGATCCACCCCAACTAAGGATTTATTGGCACATGATGGCTGATAGGGAGAGACAGTAAGTTTCTCTTAGGGGTGGGGCCCTTGGTAGTTTCCCTGGACCCTAATAGCTGATCCTGCACCCATGCCCATACTGACAGCACTTATTGGAGTCAGTGGGTTAAAAATAATTTTATATTTCTTAGATGACAAAAGTTCTGAACATTTCCAGCATTTGTGATGTTACATTATTTTTCTAAACAATGAGTTTTAGACAGAATCTTATCTTTCCTGAATTGAAGGGGGCGTTCATACTCTATCACCAGATAATTTCAAGTATATTTTTATAAAGTGCCAGCTACAGTTGCCAAGACACTTCAGATTTAGCAAGTAACAAAGCAAAACTGAGGTTTTCTCTTCTCCTATTGGTTTTTTTTAGTTTAAATTTACTTTCTACTTAAGAAATGAACATACAGAGCATTAGATATCGTTATGACATTTTCAAACAGGGTGTGCTTTGAATTGCCCTCCCTTAATCTCTCTCCCTACATCCCATTGTGACATAATCAATGCTAGTTGTCCTCACTAGCACAGCTCCCTAAAGTTAAATCTGCCTGTATTAATTATTCTTATTTATAGGTTTAACTGGACAGGGCAGCTGAATATTTTCCTACTGCCTTTAATATATTCTGTTAACACAGAAACAAGGACTGTTCATAGATTACAGTGTTATGGTGTTTGACGGAACATAGTTGAGTTTGATAAGCCCTTCAAATTCAGCTAATTAAATGGAAAAATGTTAGTGATACCAAGCCTTGTAATTATAGTTTAAAAAAAAAATTTGTCAGGATTTTCTTTCTTTTTGGCTCCCCTCCCCAAGACTGCTTGTTTTGGTATTGTTAATATGCCTTCCAGATTCACCCATGAACACATTTCAGTGGACAAAGAGCCACAAATAGATGTGGCTATTGATTTTCTTCTGGGGCTACCACCTGATTTCTATACAACCCTGGAGAGCACATGTCAATTTCCATATGTATTCAACTCCTCCTTTCTGCTCTTACTGTCCTGCAGGATCATAAATTAAGATAATCCTGCAATTTATTATTTATCAAAGGCTAGTGGTTGACCTGTGTCTTAGTCACAGCATAAGAAAGATGGGCTACAACTAGGTGAGGTTTAACCTTCACAGTTCTGGGTGCTGGACATCTAGTGTACACCCCCCCCCCATAGATGGCCAACATATTCTTGCTGCCTTTTCTCATGTCAGAAGGGGAAGGGAGGTCTCAGGAGGAGCTTTTAAAAGAGCAATAGTCTCATTTGTGACCTAATCAATTCCCAAAGACCTTACCTCTACATATTCTTAATACTGGAAAGGACATAAGCTCTCTGTTTCAGGCTGACTGGCCAAAGCAGTCTGGTCTTAGCCAGTGACTAGTCTCCTTGGTATGGTGTCCATACCAGACTCATCTCACTCTGTCTTTTAGGACCTCCATCCCAGACTTACGTGAGTCCCTCCATCCTGGACCATCGGCTAGTGCTCTTTTCTAGACTCCTGTGTTCTTGAGCATCTCTAAACTTGGCTCAGTCTCTTATACTTCCATGTGGTGCTTCTGCTTGCATTTTATTCCCGTCAGTTCATGTCTTAGTTGAGGCCTCCCCATCTAGCTAATTGTATTTTGGGTAATTCTTCTTTAAGAGGTCTCTTTGACCCTTCCTCTAGGCTAGAGTAGCTGTGTCCCTTGAGTATTCCTGAAACATATTGGTGATAATGGCAAGATTATAGAAGCCAGAGGCTAGAAAGATAATAATTGGCATAATTTGTTTTCTGTGGCTGTTATAAAATAATACCACAATGTTGGTGGTTAATCCAATAAACATAAATCCATCCTTTCTCATTTCTTGGGGCAGAAATTAGAAATCAAAGTGACATCGCTGCCTTGCTTCCTATGACGTGCTGGAAGGTTGTCCATGCTTTGCTTCTTTGGCCTCTGGTGCCTGCACTTTCAGTTTGTGCGCACTGTCCCTTCGGTGCTTTGGGGTCACCTTACCTCTTTGGTGGCTCTCCAAGGTGTTTCTTCTATGATGCATTAGGGCCTGTATGCATAATCCAGGCAGATCTCTTCCTCTTGAGATCCTTAATTAAACCTGAAAAGACACATTTTCTAACTCAGGTGATAGCCACAGGTTTGAGGGTCAGCATAGAGATGAATTTCTTTGGAGGCCATTGTTCAGCTTACTATCACAGCAACTAGCGCATATACACTACAAGGAAAAGAAGCTTTTTACTAAGGAGAATAAGGATAAGAGTGGCAACAAGAGAAGCCGGAGCTTGTTTCTGCTAGCTCTTATTAGACTGATATTTTTCATGTTAGTGGTCTAGCACAGTAATTTCCCCATCAGTGACTTCCCTCCTGACATGTCATTATGCAAGAGAGCCTTGTACAATCCTCACCTCACTCATTTCTTGAGTTTCCCCTCAACCTGACCATCCTCTGCTAACTCTACTTGTTCAGCAGTGGTAATGAAAGCATCTACTATTTACCAAGAGCTTACTACCTGCTACCCACGGCACAATTTCCCTATTGATGCCACGTCTCTTCTTCCCTTTGACTTTCTAGGACGCGGATGCCTGTTTCACTCTAGAATTTAATTATATACTGCGGAATACATTCACTGTAGACTGCCGCGCACCTGCTTTAAAAATTCTTTATAACATTTACTACTTGTGCAGTTCATTCCACTGAGGTAGTACCATGTCTAATCTTCATTAAAGTAATCACCATGGGCTAAGAACTGAGCTAAACATTGAGAGTTTCTCTTTGAATCCTCACACTAATTCTTCAATTTGTGGGTTTCTATTGTTCTCACTTCTCACAGAGGAAGAAATTAGAGCTTAGAGTTGTTAAGTTATTTGCCCATGGTCTTTAGGTAATGGAATGAGAATTTGGGTGAAGGACATGAAACTTTGCAGGGCACACACACACACATCTTGTTTAGCATTTGCTGTTGCAGGAAGGTCACATTGGGTAGTCTTTTGAGTCTAGGTGGACTTGAAATGGTATAAGGCTGTACTTTCCTTTTCCATAGTTGCTTGTTATCATTTTGCTAAGTTTTTGGATTAAATGAAAGTTGTGTCTTATTTTTTCTTTCTTTTATTTTTCCTTTTTAAATGTGCTTTAAAATTAAAATATCATTATATTATCCCCTTCCCTTTATTTTCCCTAATCTCACACTCTTTAGCCTTTCTCTAAAGTCTATGGCTATTGTCTTTGATTATATATATATATATATATATATATATATATATATATATATATATATATATATATTCACAAATATGTAAACACAACCCACCAGGTCCAGTTTCATTGTTTGTGTATATATGATTTTCTGGGATGACCACTTCATATTGGATAATCAATTAGGGGGCTCATCCCTGGAAGGGTTTAATTCTCCCTTGCTCAGCAATCATTATTGTCTGTAGTTCTTTGTCTAGGGGTGGGGTATTGAGAGATTTTTTTCCCTCTTCCCCATTAGTATGTATGGTAGTTTGGATAATAATGGTCCCTAGAAGCAGAGCATAGTGGTGCACACCTTCCTTTAGTCCCAGCACTCTGGAGGCAGAGGTATTTGAGTTTGAGGCCACTCTGGTCTACAGAGCTATTCTAGGACAGCCAGGGCTACATGGAGAAACTGTCTTGAAAAACCAACCAGCCAACCAAACAAACAAATAATCAAAAAAGAATGGCCCCTATAGGCTCGTATATTTTTTTCATATATTTGATTGCTTAGTTACTAGGTAGTGGAACTATTTGAAAAGACTAAAAGGATTGGATTAGGAGGTATAGCCTTATTGGAGTAGGTGTACCTTGTTAGAGGAAGTGTGTCACTGGGAGTGGCCATTAATGTTTCAGAAGCCCAAGCCAAGACTAGTCTCTCTCTCTGCCTGCAGATCAGGATGTAACCTTGAGCTTCTGCTCCAGCACCTGCCTGTGAGTTGCCATGCTCCCTACCATGCTGATAACAGACTAACCCTTTAAAACTGTAAACAAGTTCCCCAATTAATGAGTTTGCTTATAAGAGTTGCAATGGTTATGATGCCTCTTCACAGCAATCGAACAGTGACTAAGACAACATGTACACTGATATTGTCATTGTTCAGGTTTTGTTTGGGTAGGCATTTCTAGGAGACATAATCTCACAGCAGATTTCCCGGTAGCCTGGCTCTTAAAATCTTCCAGCCCCACTTTTCCATGATGTTTCCTGAGCCATGGCCATGCACAGGAGCTACGTTATAGACATATCTGTTGGGCCAGAACTCATCACTATCCATCGACCTCTGCCTTGTGTCCAGTTGTGTATTTCGGAAATCGTCTTATTTCTAATGTTGCATGATCTCAATGATTCCATAGGAATGGCAAGATGGCTCAGCAGGTAAAGGTTCCTGCCACCAAGTCTGACAACCTGAGTTCAATACCCAGGGTCCACAGGGTGAAAGAACTCATTCCTTCTGGTTGTCCTCTGATCTCCATGTGTGTTGGTGTGTTACATGTGCACCCACACACAAATACAGATGTACACTAAGTAAGAAAAGATGTTTTAAAAACAAGTAATTTTGTAGCTATTTGAAGGGATAGGTAGGTTGCAGGGTCTGGGAAGACGCAGCACAGTCTGGCAGTGTTCTCTGGAGAACTCTGCTCAGTCTACCTCCAGTGTCCAGGGTCCAGGAACCAAGAGAGGGCGGCTCATCCGGATCTCAGGTCTTTAGGGCCCTCTCTTGGCCCTACCTTGTAGGCGTGACAGTTACTGAAGCCTCAATGGGGGTTGGAACTTCCAGATCAAGCCGGAATGGCTACCCACTCCAGCTATTAGTTCTATTCTGCTCCCAAACAAGACATTTGCTCTAACACCCTCCACAGTGCAAACTGCATATGGGAAGGGAAGGGACCCAAAGGAACACCAACTACTCCCTCGTCGTACCACCGCTCCCAGCTTTAAAAGGCCCTTTTTAAAAGACTAGAAAGGGAGTCAAAGAAACCAGCATAAACAATTTTTCTTCTTGAAAATATAGAGGTCACAAGATTGCATCCAGCTGCATATCTTTGGCTGGGGACTTAGAACTGAAAGAAATGTAGACTAATCCTGTGACAAAGCTGTGAGTGGGAAGGGAGAAACACACTGTTGTTTAAGAGTTTCTGCGACTCCTTTGCACTCTGTTCTTCAGAGTTCGAACCATGCTCTCTTGCCATTCATTTCCCTTCCCCAAAGGAAAGCAGATGTTAAGATGAAAGAAATCTAATGCCAGACCACCCTTAGACAGCTGATATGCAGTTTGTATTTGCTGGAATGGGAAAAAGAAAAAAAAAAAGTAACAAAGTTCAGAAAGACATCATTCTACCCTTTCTGACTATGATTTTGGCTTAATTTGTTAATATTCAATTGATTATTTGGGGACAACTTCCTTGCATTTTCCTTTAATGAATAGGTTTACAATATCCCTCTGTCCTAATGACAAAATCTCTAATTATGTTAAAGAGCATTAAAATTTCCATTTGGATTAACAATCCAACTTGGCAGATTAAAGAATAAAATACACTCATGGTGTTATAAAAAGGTTTATTATGTCTTATAGACCTTTGGAATAGAATACATTTGCTTATAGCACTCATTTAGTTTTAAACAGCTAAGGTGACAATGGTTCGCTTTCATTTATGACAACTTATCCATTAGTACAATCTCCTTCTAGAATTTTATAGCTTTATTGAGTCATAAAAACTTTATGATGAGGCTACTGTTTCAATGCCCAGGAAGATGATTAGGAAATTAAGAATGAAATTACGTGTGTTCCCAAAGTCATAATCTACTGAAGGACACAGGCAGGGTGAGACCCCAGCACTTAAGTACACTGGCAAGTGCACTGTCTTCTGCAGCAATATCTGACAACCCCGGGCCCTTTCTGAGTAAGCGGTCTCTAGAAAAAGCAAGGGAACAGTTGGGTTCTCTCCTGGAAAGCAACAATAGTGAAAAAATGCTGTCATCCCTCAGAGCTATCCTGAACTAGTGCATTTCCGGACAAGACTCACCTACATTCTTTGTGAGCCCACAAATTCCTAAGTGGCTTTGTATGCCTCGAGGAATCTTAGAGCCTCTTTTGTTTTCTTTTATGCTTTCTCATTAGCAAGCGAGCATCTCTATTGGAGCATCTCTATTGGAGGGATCTAGAGAAAAGAGTCCCCTCGTCTGGCACAATCTCTTTCAGGTTTGCTCCTGTAACTTACATAGGACCAGGCTTGCTTTCTTCCTTTTTTTTTTTAAATTTAAAAGTTATTTTTTTTTTCCATTTTACATACCAACCACATTTCCCCCCTCCCCAATCCATTTCTCAGAGAGGGTAAGGCCCACCCATGAGGAGTCAACAAAGTCTGGCACAGCAAGTTGAGGCAGGATCAAGCCTCTCACCCCTGTATCAAGGCTGAGCAAGGTATTCCTCCATAGGGAATGGGCTCCAAAAGCCCGTTCATGTGCTAGGGATAAATCCTGGTCCCACTGCCAGTTCCTCCTCTCTCTCTTGGACTGGACTCTGGAGCTCCACCCAGTACTTAGCTGTGGATCTCTGCATCTGCTTCCATCAGTTACTGGATGAAGGTTCTATGATGACAATTTGGGTAGTCATTGATCTGATTACAGGGGAAGGACAATTCAGGGACCCTCTCCACTATTGCTTGGAGTCTTAGCTGGGTTCATCCTTGTAGGTTCCTGGGAATTTCCCTAGCACTAGGTTTCTCCCTAACTCCATAATAGCTCCCTTTATCAAGAAATTTTTTCCTTGCTCTCCCTCTCCCTCCCTCTCCCAACTCAACCATTCCATTCTCTCATGTTCTCTTCCCACCTCCCCTTACCTCCCTCCCCCCAGGCTTTGAATTTACTCAGGAGATCATATCTACTTCCTCTTATTAGGGGGATCCATGCATGTCACTGGTAGGGTCCTCCTTGTTACCTAGCTTCTCTGGGGTTGTGGATTGAAGCCTAGGACCAGGCTTTCTTGTTGTAGTAACTTTTCCATTCTCAGGGAAGGTTCCCTGGAGGCCTCTGGCTGTAACCCGGTAGTGAGCTTGATTTCTAAACTTGTGTTACTAGTGCTTGTG